ACACCATTTTCAGGTACAGGGGACATGTCACATCCAAGGTCTTAGCTTGGGAGGTCTCGAGGCTGGAGTCTCTCTTTTGTTACTTTATTTATGTTTATATACTTTTATTTCCAAGCTGAGGGCTTTATTTGTAAAGCGCTTCTGACTCTCTTTTGATGTAACCAAGTGTCTACTTCGAAAGATGTAAGCTCGTAGGGCATTTATTTTGTTGGATAACATGTAGCATCTTTTGTAAAGAACACTCTGATGAATGTAGATATGATGTTTCTTTTATTATTTTTGGATCTTGTAATTAATTCATAGTGACATTTGTGATTTTAAATCAATTCAAACTAGAGGTGGGAAAAAGTATTTTATCACTTTTATAGATGACTATACTAGATATAGTTATGTTTATTTAATTCGAACCAAGGATGAAGCTTTGGCAACTTTCATTCAATATAAGAATGAAGTTGAAAATCAACTTGGTAAGAAAATCAAGAAACTTAGAAGTGATAGAGGTGGTGAATATGAATCACCTTTTGGTGAATTTTGTAAAGAACATGGAATAATTCATCAAACCACCGCTCCTTACTCATCTCAGCAAAATGGAATTGCTGAAAGGAAAAATAGGACTTTAAAAGAAATGATGAATGCCATGTTAATAAGTTATGGATTACCTCAGAACTTGTGGGGGGAAGCAATACTTTTTGGTAATTATATACTTAATAAAGTACCCCGAAAGAAAGTGAATCAAGCACCTTATGAATTGTGGCATGGAAGAATACCATCCTACAAATACTTAAAAGTGTGGGGGTGTTTGGCTAAAGTGGCTATTCCTAGTCCTAAAAAGACTAAAATAGGTCCTAAGACCATTGATTGCATTTTCATTGGTTATGCCAAGAATAGTAGTGCATATCGGTTTTTAATTCATAAATCAAAACATTCCGAAATGCATGTAAATACTATTATTGAATCTCGGAATGCATCTTTCTTTGAACATGTATTTCCAAATAAGACTGGACAAGAGACTAGTAACAATAAAAGATTTCATGATGCTATTACTGGTCAGGATCAAAAACATGATCAAGAACAAGAGTTAGATCAAAATGAGGAAGTGGAACCTAGGCGTAGTAAACATGCTAGAACCTCAAAATCTTTTGGTCCAGATTTCGTAACATTTTTGTTAGAAAATGAGCCTTTAACTTTTAAAGAGGCTATGTCCAGTCCTGAAGCTCCTTTATGGAAAGAAGCTGTCAACAGTGAAGTTGAATCCATCTTGCAAAATCACACTTGGGAATTGGTGGATTTGCCACCAGGTTGTCAACTTCTTGGGTACAAGTGGATTTTCAAAAGAAAATTGAAAGCGGATGGATCAATTGACAAATACAAGGCAAGACTTGTGGTCGAAAGATTTAGACAAAAAGAAGGTCTTGATTACTTTGACACATACTCACCGGTTACTAGAATAACATCCATTAGAATGCTAATTGCCATTGCATCTCTATACAATCTAGAAATTCATCAAATGGATGTGAAAACCGCTTTCTTAAATGGTGAGTTAAATGAAGAAATTTACATGGAACAACCAGAAGGTTTTTCTGTTCCAGGAAAAGAAAAGAAAGTGTGTAAATTGGCTAAATCATTATATGGTTTAAAACAAGCGCTAAAGCAATGGCATGAGAAATTTGACAAGGCAATAATGTCAAATGGATTCAAAATTAATGAATGTGACAAATGTGTTTATATTAAAAACACAGACAAAGGTTATGTCATTATTTGTCTTTATGTAGATGATATGCTCATCATAGGTAGTAATAATGATATGATTAAAACTACTATGAAAATGTTGAATAAACATTTTGACATGAAGGGCATGGGCATTGTTGATGTAATTCTTGGTATGAAAATTACCAAAACATCAGAAGGTTATGCTTTGTCATAATCTCATTACATTGAGAAAATACTTGACAAATTCAGCAAAGATGATGATCATCTTGCTAAAACATCTGTAGATGTTAATTTGTTTCTATCTAAGAATGTACAGGAAAGTATTTCTCAATTAGAGTATGCCCAAATTATTGGAAGCTTCATGTACTTGATGAACTGTACTCGCCCAGATATAGCTTATGCAGTAAGTAAATTAAGTAGATATACGAGTAATCCAGGAGTAGAACACTGGAAAGCAATTATAAGGGTTCTAAGATATCTCCGATTTACTCGTAACATTGGGCTGAATTATACTAGATATCCAGCCGTACTTGAAGGTTACTGTGATGCAAACTGGATATCGGATACTAAAGACTCAAAATCCACCAATGGGTATGTTTTTACACTTGGTGGGGCGCCTATATCTTGGAAATCTTCCAAATAAACTTGCATTGCTAGGTCTACTATGGAATCTGAATTCATAGCTTTAGACAAAGTAGGGGAAGAGGCAGAATGGCTTCGCCACTTTCTAGAAAATATTCCAATATGGCCTAAACTGGTGCCTGCTATATGCATACATTGTGATAGTCAATCAGCAATTGGTAGAGTATAGAGTCATATGTATAACAGTAAGTCACGACACATTCGTCGTCGACATAACACCGTGCGACAACTATTCTCCAATGGAATTATTTCCATTGAATATGTGAAGTCTAAACACAACATAGCGGATCCACTAACCAAAGGGTTAGCAAGAGAGCTAGTTGAGAATTCATCGAGGGGAATGGGACTAAAGCCTATTAAATAAGAGTTACTACAACGACAACCCAACCTAGTTGACTGGAGATCCCAAGATCTAGGCTCAAAGGGACAACCGAGTTGTGAATGACTCAGAAGGATCACTGGAGAGTCTAACTCCTACCCATTTCTTTGATGAAATAGTGATGTCTGCAGCGTTTGAGGTTAAGTAAAAATTTTAATGATTCTTATATCTAGGTAAACCTAGTGGAGTATGGCAGGATACTCTTCATAAGAATCACCTATGTGAGCACTCATGAAAGACCAGGTTGTTCAGGGCCAAAATGAACACAATAGTGAAAACTAAACTGTGTCTGGGGATATACTGTGTGAGTTCTATTGTCTTGGTTTACACAAACGACTGAACAGTTCAAGACATCATGTTCACTGGTTAGCTACTAAATCCGATAGTGTCTCACAATGGAAGGTTCAAAGCCAAAAGCTACCTATCCTTTGCAGAATATTTCCAATTTCTGTACTCTCTGTATTTAGATCATGTTGTTGCATTTTCTCTCCATCAAATTCCATTCATGTGGGGGATTGTTAGAAAAATGGTGTTTTATATGACTTATTTTGGGCCAACTTTGAGGCCAAAATTGAGTGGGTCCCAAACGTCTTTTGGGGTGGGTCCGAAGAGGTGACATGTTCCTTGTCGCGCGGCAAGTCACACGGTGAAGACGGGACGTCAAAACCATTTATGAGTGAATGGAAAGTTAACGTCGTTTTAGGGTCTAACATTAATTTTTTGGACAAAATTCATTTGAATTTTTTCAAAAAATTATTGTGGGAATTTAAATTTAAATTTAAATTCAAATTTTGGTTTCCTAAAGAGTGTGCCTATTCCTTTATTGATTAAACTATTCAAATAGTTTAATAAAAAATATCCCAAGAGTTCATAAAACTGTTCCACCAACGATACTTTTTTCAAACAATTTGAAAAAGTGTTCTAAGCAACAGGCAGATCACTATTCAAATAGTTATCTGTTTGAATAGTGCGTGCACCTGTTCAAATTAAATGTGCACCTTTTCACTTCAATTTGGTACCTGTTCGGGTCAAATATTTTGCTATAAATACAGCCAATTTCCAGCAGTCAGTATGATCTATAAATCAGTCTGCATAATTCCTTTTGTTGTCCAATTATCATCTTTGGTGCATTATTCTCCATATTAATTTTAGAATAAATATTCAGAGAGTTAGAACACAGGTTTGGTTCGCCAAACAATTTGTTGTGGAGTGCTACTACAAATTGGTTAAGATCATTGTATCTTGGGAGATAGACGCTACTCAACCGTAAGCACCGTAACGGGGTGAATCTGTCTTAAGAACAGAGTTTCACACACTCGACTTGGTCTTTGATTTTTTAAATTCGGTTCGATAAATAAATTCGGTATGTTTTTTATTTATTTGTTTGATTTAGTTTCAATCTATTTTATTTACACAGAAGATTGTTCCAACACACATGCCTTGAAACAACAATAGCAAACACTTCAACTTGCTACTCTAAGTCTCGTGGGGCTAGACTTTTTAGCTGTAGTTGCTTCTTAAGGTATGAGTTCTATGTGTTTTATGAGGATGCAAGTAAAAGTTCAACAGAAAATCAGAGGATATTTGCAAGTAAGTGTTAACAAATTCTCTATCAATATTCGAATTTGATTTACAAATAGTAAGCTGCAAATTTAGTAATTTCTTTCTTTTCTTGATTTTCGAAAGCCGCAGGTATTGGATGACTATTGGCCTTGCAATTGGATCATCAATTCTAATTGTAGCACTTGTGGGATTTTGTGTCTACTGTCTTGCTATTAGGAATCAAACTAAGACAAGTAATGATGCTATCTAGTTGAAGTTTCTTTTTTTCCCTTCACTAACAATTATTATTTTTTTTTTCATAACTCTAAAATTAAACCTGTTATTATTTGTTATTATTATTTTTTTTCCAATTTTAGAGGAAAGGCAAGTTTCTGGCCAAGAAGTTCAATTACATGAAACTGGGGACCCCAACAAGATAGATGTACATCATCAAACTTTGCAGGCCAGGGACAACTTGAATTCTCAGAATTTCCCATTCATTGATTTGGTGACACTAAGTGCAGCTATAGATAACTTCTCGGCTTCAAATAAGCTTGGACAAGGTGGTTTTGGTCCTGTTTACAAGGTGATGACATTTTTTTTTTCTTTTTTTCTTTTGTGCTTTTTTCTTTTTTCTTGGTTCCTAGTTTTAATTGCCTGAAACATTTTTTTTCCAAGGTCAATTACTTGATAGGAGGGAAGTTGCAGGCTCTCAAGTTGTTCAAAGCAAGGTTTAGATGAATTCACCAATGAAGTTTTATTAATATTGAAACTTCAACACAAAAATCTTGTAAGGCTTTTGGGGTTTTGCATAGATGGAGAGGAAAGCTGCTCATCTATGAATACATGCCCAATGGCAGCCTTGATTTCTTCCTATTTGGTTCGTATCCTTCTTTCTTTCTTTTTTTTTTCTTTTCTTTTTTTGTACAATATCTCAATTTTTTTAATTCAAATGTAATATATAAAAATGGGTATGTTTCATTGTAGTTAATCAGAAGTTTATTTTCCTAATCTATAATTTTTTTTTTCTTTCTATTCTTTTATGGTTAGATCCTAGGAAGCGTGCGCAAATGAATTGGAGTAGGCGTCTAAATATCATCAATGGAATTGCAAGGGGAATGCAATATCTTGATCAGGATTCTCGGCTTAGAATCATTCATAGGGACCTAAAACCAAGCAATGTGTTACTAGATAGTGAATTAAACCCAAAGATCTCAGATTTTGGACTGGCAAGGATCTTCGGAGGAAATGATGGTGCTATTAACACTGCTAAGATTGTTGGAGCATAGTGAGTTCACTGTTTGTTTTCTGAACATTTCTTTTTTCTTTTTTTCAAAACTATTTTATGTCAAACAATTAAGTAGGTAGCTTTATTAATCACACTAGTTCACATATTGAATATATTTCCAATCATTTCTCTTGTTGGATAGTGGTTACATGGCTCCAGAGTTTGCAATGAAAGGATTATATTCCATCAAGTCTGATGTTTTTAGTTTTGGTGTCCTCTTGATTGAGATCATAACTGGGATGAGGAATGCTAATTTCCATCTCACTAAGTGCGCTTCTAGCTGTAGACACCCCATTTTTGACCGTCCTCAAGACTTGGACATCACCGTTTGAACACCCGGTGATCATCCATGTTTGTGTTCCTTTGGAGTTCCCAGAGGTCTCGATTACGCGCCTTGCCTCAGGATCTCTGAACTCGACTGTTTTGTGCTTGGTTCGACACCAAACACTTGTGTTTTGCCTTTGAGAGCAGGGTAGGGCTTGTAGACCATCCCCACCCATCACCGACCGTGGCTTGAGGCCATCGGCTGTGTTTTGTGGCCACCGGCCAAATATTTGGCCGGCCGGCACTATAGATGGCCGGTCGGCTATATTTTTTTGGTCAATTGCATCTTTGGCCGGCCAACTACTGTGCATCTGCTTTTGCAGATATTTTGACACAGCTGTCTTGCATTTGGCTCCCCTCCATACACGTGTATGGAGGGATCTCTCTCTTTAGAAGCTTGTTTTGTAAGCTTTACAAGACAAAAGGCTCTATAAAGAGAGGGCTTCTCTCTTGGCTTTAGGGTTAGACATTTTAGACAGCCATTTTAGGGTTTGAGTTCTAGGGTTAGGGTTTGTACATATCCTATCTCTATATCTCTCTCTTGTGTGTGTATAAGTGTGTTTGTGTCTTACTATTGCACACAAACACATAGTGTTACACCTTTTCTGGGTTCTTGAAGGGCCAGAGGTTTGTTCTTGAAGCTTTGGAGCTGTTTTGAGCTCAAGGAAGGGGCTGGTCCACCATTTGTGAAGAAGGTCAACAAGAGTAACAATCTTACCCCTTTTTATCCCATTCTTGCATACTATTTTTGCCTATCTTAGAACTATTTTTGAGCTTAGTGCATAATATAAAAAATTTCTGTTTTTGGGCCCTCTAAATAGTTTGTTTAGAGTGTTTTGTGGTTCGGAGGTGTTTGACCCCTCTTAAGCCTTGAGAGGCCCCATTTTGTGCTATTTTGAGTGAGCTCCGGGACCTTGGTGTTTGGGCCTCCTCACCATTGAAATCTTGAGGGATTTCAGAGGTGAGGATGGTGCCTTGAGGTCCCTAGAAGGAGATGGTCACCTCCTCTCCTTGTTGTCCTTGAAAAGGGCCATTTTTGCCTCTTTAATGAGCACCTAGCTAAGCCTCATGTTGACCATGTCTTGGCTATTATTTATGCTTATTTTGCCATAAAATAGCATTGTTGCATGTTGGTTTTGGTACACCATGCATGCTTAGCATACCTACCTTGTAATGCCATGTTTAGGCCTTAACATGCCTTAGGTTGTAAACCATTGTTCAAGCATGTTTTAGGTCTAGCTTTTTGAAGCTTTTGTGCTTATTTTGCCATGTTAGAGGTCTGTCCTTAGTCATTTTGGTCGGCCATGGCATGTTTAGTATAGCCCCTTTGTATTTTGGCTTGTTGGCCTTAAGTATGTGAGGGTATAGCATGCATTACTCGCTTTGTTTCATGGGTTTGGCACCATTTGTAGCATCATTTCAGTCCCTTTAGCATGCTTGTATGCTTGCCTTGGATGCCTCTTTGATGCCTTATGAGCTTGTGTTGTATGCTCCTTGAAAGTGCATTTGTGCATGCTTTTGAATTCAAGCCATTTAGATGCCATCTAAGTGGTCTTTTTGGTTTTGTTTTATGTACTAAAACTCTGTTTTGGTCATTAAATCCATGCCATGTTTGATCTTGCTAAGTGTGGTCAAATACCTCTTTTAGCTTGCCTTGTATCTTGGACCATTGTTACATGCTTAGCCTATCTTGTTCGCTTGGTTTGGCACCATGTTTTTGCATGATTTTCAAGGCTTAATTTGCATGCTATATGCCCATGTTTGCATCCTCTTAAGTGTGCTTGAGAATTGCTCTTTGATGTTTGAAGTGTCGGAGATCATTTGCACGCGTGTTTGCATGCCATTAGTCCTTCATTTTGGGCACTTTGGCCACTGTTTTGGGCCTAATTAGAGCTGCCTAAATCATGCTTAAGTCCATCCTTTGCTTGCTTGCATGCTTACCTTGCATGTTTGTTTGCATGCTTGCATGTACATCTTGCATTCCCATGTTGCATCCTTAGCTTGCATGCCTAGGTTGCATTGCATCTAGCATGCATGTCTTGTTCCTTGATCTAGTGATAGGAATTGGGCTTCGGTTTGTTGGTTTGCATTGCATTTGACATCAAAATGTGCACACTTGGTTCTTTGGGCCATCACGCATTGAAATGCGCGCTTGATGGTCCGAGAACCAAGGACCATGTCCCTTTGAGTCATACACATGATGAGGGATAGGATTGGTGCATACATTGCTTGAGATGCATTGCCATGCCAAGTATTGCCCTCTGCTGCTGTCAAAACAGTTTCTGTAGGAACTTTTGTCTGACCGGCCACATTTAGTGCCGATCGGCCACCATTGTTGGCCGATGGATCAAAGTTGTGGCCGGTGACCATTCTGCATGGCCGGTGGTGTTCTCGTTCAGCCGGTGGTGTTTCCCAGCATCCACAGAGTAAACCCTGAGGCTTTGGCAGTCATCAGAGGAGTAAAGCAGGGAAAACAGAGGCATCTTGTGCATGGTGGCGGATTTCCGAGCCAAACCGAGCGCGCACTGCATTGGGCCTTCATCCCGGGACTGTTTATTGCTTAATTAGATTAATTAATTTGCTCAATTAATTTAGTTGATTTGTAATAATTAATTAGCTAGGATAGTTAATACATTATTCGAACTGTATTATTCTTTCGGTCCCACCGAGCGAGGGTAAATTTGTAATAAGTGTGGGTGAGTGTGTGTATGTCTTCCAACCCCCACTTCTTTCTCCCTTTTACTTACCTGCTTATGATGGTTAGTATTAGGACACGTTTACTTTAGCATACCTCATGTTATGCATGCGTGCATCATTCGTCAGTATCGCATGCACCGGGCTCGGCGCATCATGCTAACTGCATTAATACTTCAAATCTAACTTGAATACATGCTTCCTGCGCACTTCACATGTCATCCTTAGATTAGTCGAGCCTATTCTAGTAACATTTTGTATGCGATGCATTAGGCACTTAACATGGACTTGGATCATGCATTGATCGCTAACACGTTCTTGTTTTGGCACGGAGTACGATGTAAGTATTTTATGCTTTGGCATACTGCATGCGTGTGAATGCTACCATGACAGCATGCTTACCATGTGGCTAGATGCTTATGGGCATACCGCATGCGTGTGAATGCTATTATGACAGCATGCTTACCATGTGGCTAGATGTTTATGTGATAAACTGTTTGAATGCCTGTGGGTGAAGGTTGGGTTGCCTGAGTTCGAATAGCTCGTTAAAATCCGTATTTTAGCCTACTTGTGAGTAGCAAATTCCAAAGTGTTTTTCAAAACAAACGGATATGCAATGCTTATTTTCAAATTAGGCGATTTAGTCTATACTTGTTTGCTGTGCGCATAACATAGTAATTCTAGGCTAATAACTGGAATAAGAACACATAACGTTTTCAAAAACGGATATCATGGTTAGTAGAGGCCGATCTTCGGATCGGGCGAGAGGGGATGCTCATAGCTGACCTTCTCCAATCGTACCCAAGCTCCCGAGCCGAGACAACTCCGGTGATGACGGACATGTGGCCTTCGGCACTGAGTCAGGGTTTCCTAAATTTCCCCTTTAAAAAAATATTTAGGTGGCGACTCTGTATCTGGCAAAGCAGTCCATGTTTGGCACTTCTTTTCAAAAAAAATTGTTTCTCAAAACGATTTGCCGGATTTGGACTCTTTGGTTTAGATTAAGAACCGTGACACAAATCCAGTCCGAACTGTAGCATGAGGCCCACGGGCGCGTCTACAGGTGCATGCAGGACAAATGTATGAATGCACGCGCGCATAGCATAAGGCATGCTAATTTAAATATGCCCTAGTCTACCATCATAAGCGGGTAAATAAAAGGGAAGAAAGATGTGGGGTTGGAAGACATACACACACTCACGCACACTTATTACACAACTGCCCTCACTCGGAGGGTCCAAATAAATATTACAGTCCGAATAAATAATACTAAATTAATTATTACAAAATTTCTAATCTAATTAACAAATTAAATACAAAGAGAGGATTGCTGCAGCCCTCACCTCGGGATGCGTGAATGATGCATGCTCGGATTTATCTTGCCCCCGAAAGCCCGCACCATACCACTGCTGCCTCTGTTTACACTGCCCTGCTTCTCTGAAAACTGCCAAAATCCTGGGACAGGTTCCCTGAACGCTGTAGGGCACCATCAGCTAAAGGGAATGCCCACCGGCCATGTAACTTATCCATCGGCTGGGGTTTCATATTATCGGCCACCAATCCACGGCCGGTCGGCACTCTACAGTGCCGGTCGGCAAAAACTTCCTGCAGAAACTGGTTTTTGACAGCAACAAGGACAGACAGTGTATGGCATGGAATTTCAAGCAAATGTATGCGCGGGCACACTCCCTATCATGCAAGGGACTCAAGGGAGCATGACCCTTGACCCTCGGGCCATCAATCATGCATTTTGATGCGTGATGGCCTAAGGAGCCAAGGTTGCAATTCAATGAAAATGCATGCAACATATAAATGAATACCAAAACCCTATCATGCCAAAGTCAAGGGCCTCGGTGACCGAGGGTCGAGACGCGTTACAACACTTGTAGTATGAACGCTTCCCCCTCCCCCTCACACTTGGTTTGACACCCCAAACCAAGCAATGCAATGCATGTTATGCAAACATGGCCCGAAAATGCAACATATCACTAAAATGCAAAGCATGCCAAATGCAATGCAACATATCATGGCAAGCATGCAATGTTCCTAACATGCAATGCTAAAATGCAACTCCTCACGCATTGCTAATATGGTACAATGCAAGCATGCGATTAGAGGCAACAAGTCGCGCATACAACCATGTCCAAGAAGGGACTTAGACTGAAATGGGAGGCCTCAAACACCCCC